ATGAATCTGGATATGACTATGCTTTTCCTTCTCCATCCACTTACTTGTAACTCACCAGTGTCTGCAAAGTTTGTATAACCTTATAAAGTATGAACACTTGGATCTGGCTTTTCTTTCCAGTCTGGAGACCCTTGCCTGAATTTATATCATAATGCTTACTACCTACTGGGAGTAGTTAGTACCCTACCCGTGCCTCTTGCAATGCTGAGATTGAACACCTCTGATTGGTTTCTATTCTAGGGCAGCATATCAGATTCACCATCAGGCTAACCTGCAAGACTCCAGAGCCCACACACTGCAGGGATGTGTGAGGCTGTTGGAATCTCACTGCTTCTTACTTCTTCTCCATACCAGGCAGCCAGCACCATTCTAGAAGAGTTGCGGGGCTACAAGCGAGGATTTAGCATTTGGTCTTTCAGAGCCTCACCGCTCCTCCTAGGCCAGGCTGTAGCTTCTGGAGAGCCAGGTCCTGTCCGGTGGTGGCCAGACAGTTGTTCACCTGGTAGCAGGACTGCAGGCAAGTGCCACCACGCCCACCTCAGAAACAGGACTACGACAAAGGGGTAGGAGCAAAGGGGGCTTTGCCAATAATTACGCTGGAGCAAGAGCAATTGCACGGTGCAGACCTAAATCAACTCACACATCTCTCACGTCTTCACAAACCACTGACAGCACACTAACTTGTACTGGGATGTGGACTTAGTGGTAGTCTTCAAAACTTTTGAAAACACACATATACCTCCACCAAACTAAATACATTTCATGAAAATGAACAACTTTTGTAGATGTAACCATCTTTTTAAATAAGAAACACAGAGCCGATTGCAGAGTTAAAAAGCCCAAGAGGTCAGAGCAATAGCTAAGAGCTAAAAACCTTACCCTTCATTGCCACTGCTGTCCTCCTCAGCCAGAGAGCTACTTTCTGTGTGTCTGTCTTCTTATAGACTTTCTCATTGGTTGTAAACCCAACCACATGACCTCCTCGTCACTGTCCATCTATACAGACCTCCAGATCTTCTATGGTTGGTAATGAGATTAAAGGCGTGTGTCTCCATGCTAGTGGTGTCCTTGAACACACAGAGATCTGCCTGTCATGTGATCAGGATTAAGGGTGTGTGCTACCACTGCCAGACTTCTGCTATGGCTTGCTATTAGGTCTGACCCCCAAGCAACTTTATTTATTAACATACAAATAAAATCACATTTCAGTACAAATAAAATACCACCATAAACTTTGACTCTGTGAAAGACCTTATCGGGAATATACAGACATGCTCTGGGCCAAGGGAAAGATTGACAAATCACACATCTGACGAAGGACTTGTGCCTAGGTTGTAGAAACTGTGCAAAGGGGACTGGAGATGACTCCATGGATAAGGTACGTGCTGCATGAGCACAAAGTCAAGAGTTTGGCTCTCTAGCACTCATGTAAAAAGTCCAGCTTGGTGGCCAGCTCAAAGAGGAGAGACAGACAGATCCCAGGGGCTCCCTGGCCTACCTGCCCAGCCAAATCAGAGAGTCCAGGATCATTGAGAGGGCCTGTCCCCCAAAAATAAGGTGAAGATGCAATTGTGGAAGATGATGACACCTACCTCTAGCCTACACACACACACACACACACACACACACACACACACACACGCACGCACGCACGCACGCACGCACGCATGCACACACGCATGCAGTCATAAAATTCTACATTAAAAAGGAAACAACTGAATTAGAAAAAGACATGGTTAGATAATTTCTCCCAAAAGGACACATAGGTAAGTATATGGAAAAATTATCATTTACTATTAGAAAATGTCAATTAAAATAACAACATAATACTTGTAAAGTATAAAGTAATAGTACCATGAGACCCTGCCCATGCAGTGAGCCACGTTGCTCATCCACTTCTGATGTGAGAGCAAAATGGCAGCTGTCTAGAGCAGAGAACAGTGAGGTTTGCAAAAGAAATCTGCACTGCTATGGCCTGAACCAGGATCCCAGAATGCCACGTGGTAGAGCCTTTCTCCAGCGATCTGGGTGTGGTGGGACATTGAAGAGGTGAGGCCTACTTGGAGGTGCTAGGTCCCTGAAGTAGCTGGTTCTGGGGATCTTTGAAGGGGGCTGTGGGTTCTTCCTCTCTTACTTTCCAGCCATTATGAGGCAAGCATCATGGTCTACCTCACAGTTCCTGCAGTGATGGATTGCATCACCATGACAACACAGCCAAGCAACCATGGACTGAAGTCTCCAAAACTGATCGGAAATGAACTTTTTGCATTTTTTCATTTTGCAGTGTAGGGGATTGAACTCAGGACTCTCTGTACACTAGGCAAGCACTCTACCACTAAGCTACATCTTCCTCTGAAGATGCCTATCCTCTTTTCTCTGGTGTGTGTGTGTGTGTGTGTGTGTGTGTGTGTGTGTGTGTGTGTGTGTGTTGGTTCCCCGCTTCCATCAACTGCTGTCCAAGGACTTAACTCAGTCATCAAGCTTGTTGACAAGGGGAAGGTCATCGGGGGCTTGGCAGCAAGCACCTTGACCAGCTGAGCCGTTTGGCCTGACCACCTACCCTCCTTTTCACCAGACTGCCTCAAAGATTTTGTTTCATTGCCAGAAGGGTGACTAACCCCTGCACGTACCCATATGACCTTGGTGTACTAAAGAGGAATTAACTATTGATTCTTCTAATTGCTTAGATGGACCATGAATGCTGCTGAGGAAAAATGTCATTCCTGGACTATAAATTCCTCCAGTTACATAATATTCCGATGGGGGAGGGGACACAAAATTATAGAGTTTCAGACTGTCAGGTCCAAAAGAAACTCAGGACAAATGACTATCTGAGGCACCTGTTAGCACACCAAAGCCCAGGCTGGCCTCCAGGTGCACTCAGTACCTGTGGCTCTTCTCACCCCACCCCTAAACTCCTCCAGCTCATGGACTTCCCATCCCCCTCCTATATAACCTTGTCATCTCAGCCATTCACTCTCTTGGTCCTCTTTAGTCTTCCTCCCCTCTCCTCTCCTCCCCTCCTCCCCTCCCTCTTCTCCTCTTCTCCCCCCTTCCCCTCTCTTCTTCTCCTCTTTTACTCTCCCCATTCTCTCCTCTCTTCCCCTCTCCTTCCCTCCCTCTCCCCTCCCCTCCCCTCCGCTCTTCTCCCCTCCTCTCCTCTCCTCTCTACTGTTCTCCTCCTCTCTCTCTCTCACTCCCTACCTCTCCCTCTACTCTCACAGCCCAGTGCAATCTGCTGGCCATGTTTAATCTACTTCTTTCTCTCCCTGCTCTGAACTCTTCCAGATGCCTCTGGCTGTACACTCCTTCATATCTACAATAAACACCTTCCCCTCAGCCATACACTGGAGCAGTCATGTCCTCACTTTATACACAGATGAAATTAATGGTTGCCAGGGATATCAGGGAAATAGAATCCTTTAAGAGAGAACCATGATGGCTCCTTGTCATAGATGTGTACATCATGATAGAGATCACAAACGCACATATGGTAAATACAAATGCACAGAACTAAATAAAGACACATAAGTACATGCATGTGAATATGGATAAGCCATGGAAGGTTGGGGACCAATCTCCATCTCCCTGATATTGAACTGATCCTGAAAGTCATTAATATGAGGGAGAATTTGGAGAGGGCATGGACGATCTCTAGGTATGAGTTCTGACAACTGCATACCAATCTTGGTATCAACGTAAAATTGTAAAGATGATTTGATTGTAGCATGATAGTAGCTAAAGACAAGTAAGACAACAAAATGCACAGGATGACTAGCTTTGTACTACAGATGAGGGGTCAATGCTTAATCGTGTGTCTTCTAATTTACTGTCAGGAACATACTTTCTGTTGCAATCCTGAAGGACTTGGTCAGGCACAAGGTGAAGTTTAAATGGGTCAAGAGAACATCACTTGGGTCAAGAGAACATCACTTGGGTATGCAGAAGACAACAGCCCTTTTCCTGGATGCCCATGGCCTGTGTTTCTTTAATAGACCAGAGAGTAAGTTCTGGTGGAATGGTGTGATGTCATCAGTGCCTTCAGAATGTTGGAGTTCACTTAGCTACCACCAGTGCTCTCCTCAGAGCTGTGAGGCTGAGTTCTGGGTAAGCTCGGAGAAAGCCTTCAGGGCCTAGATCTTGAGAGAGCGGAGCAGCTGCTCACACGGGTGAGTGTCACCCAATGCCATGCTAGACTGAATGTCAGGGCTCAACTACGTTCCTTCAGAGAGTCTTGGAGGTGTCCGAGATCCCCTGGGAGTCCCCAGAAGGACAACTGGTGATATGATGGGAATGGAAACAGGTTTTAGAGAAGGGAAACAGAACACAGGAAGTAGTGGAAACAAAGGGAAGAAAAGTGAAGACAGGGAGGCTGTTGAAGAGGAGTCTTGTCACCCAGTGACAGTCCTTGAGAGGGAGCCATGAGGAAGACGACGTGGGCCACACAGCTGTATGTTTAGGGAGAGTTACCTGCCTGTGATTTACAGAGGGTCATAGAGATATGGAAAGAGGTGACGACAGAGCACACAGGTGTGTGACGTCATCTAGCTGACCCTACGGGAAGCGTGACTGATGCCCAGGACCTCTTCTTCCCAGTGGCACACCCACAGTGGCCTGCCCACAGCCAAAGGACACACCCTTGGCAAGTCCAGAAATCACCTTCTCACATGTAAAGCAGATGAATTATAGTCCTTACTCACAGATTACAAGACTACGTGGGGTCTCCTTTATGCTCTGATTAAATTCTAATTTCATAACAAATCAAGAATGACAGGGTATAGCTCCATAGTAGAGCACTTCCCCAGAATGCCTGAAGCCCCAAGTTTAAGTCCCATCCCCACAAAAGAAATATTTTCCAGTTGCCATGAATTATGGAACCACTATTGTAACTTTTATGACTATTTTGTTTTAGGAAAAGAAGTTTGCAGGGCAACAGCCTGGGACTGGAATCAGTCTGAGCCCTTCTTCGGTCTGCAAACCGAAGAAGACAGGCTTCCATAATGTCTGCACCAGTTCCTTCAGACACAAGACCAAGGCTTCAGAACCCAACGAAAGGTCAAAAGAAAAAAGTACTGGTGAAAGCCAAGGCAGGTGTGTATGACCCTTGGTGCTTTCCCCTGGTCCCTAGACGAGTGAAGGCTGACACAGCAAGGCCACTGCCTCTAGTCCCACCTTCCCCAACTACTCTGAGTCAACTTCTACAGGGGCATGGCAGGGGTGCCCTGGTGAGTCAGGAGGTCACTTCTTCTTTATATTTATACCTACCACAGAAAGAAGATCAGAGATGTCAACTGTCTCTCCAAAGGTGCCCTGCAAGCAGAATGATTCAGGGAATGAAATGCCAGACGATAGTGTTTGCTTGGCAAAAAAAGGTACATGGGAGGTCAATTCTAAGCCACCTTTGTAGATAAGCATGTGGAGATTAGGGACATTCCTTGGATATCTTCAGACGTTACATGTAGATTCCTCAATGTGTGTGAGAAGGGAAGACCCAGCACTGGCCAAGCATGTCCCTCTTGTGCTCAAGTCGGGGTCTCTCCTCCTGCAGCTCCACAGGCCAGCAGTGTTTGGGCTTCCAGTGATGCTTCTGCAGGGGATGTCCCTGAGCAGAGATCCAAGAGGCAGAGGGCACCGAGAAAAAGGAAACCGGAGAAAATCATCACTGGTATGTGTATGCACGCCCCTTGACATTCATGTCCCAGTGTGAATGAAACAGTATGGCCACTATGCCTAGTCCCTCCCTCTTCCCAAACTGTCCTAAATCAGCTTCTACAGGACCACGGAAAGGGCTGTCCTGGTGAGCCAGGAAATCACTTCCTTGCTCACTTTTGTAGCTCTATCAGATAGAAGATGTACAAGTTCATTTGTCTCCATGGTGGTATCCTGCAGGCAGAATGATCCAAGGGTAAAGGCACCAGAGATCAGCTGGTGCTTGGCAAAGAACAGTACATAGTAACTCAATTTCTAGTCTCCTTTGTGGATGAGTGAAGCTCATTCCTCCCAGATTTCTTCAGATGTCACACGGAATTATCAGAAGGGGAGAACACAGCCATGTCCAGGTTGTCCCTCTTGTGGTCATGTGAGGTCTTCTCTTCCTGCAGATCCAGGAGCCTGCGTCATTCTTGCCTCCAGCAATGCCTCTGCTGGGGATGTCCCTGAGCAGCCAACCAAAAGGAAGAGAGGCCAGAAGACAAAGACACTGGTGGATGTCAAAGCAGGTATGTGTCCATCATCCCTGGACATTCTTGTCCCTATATGAAGACCCAGTTGCACCCGAGTGACTACTTGTTCCTCTGTCTACATGAAGTGATAAATTCCTGAGTAATGGTCAGGAAGTTGCCAGAGTCCCCTTGTGGCCACATCCATGAGGACTGAGAAGCTTTTGTTCCCACAGCTACCCAGGAGAGCAGTCTGCGGGCCTCAGGCCCAGCCACCTCTGAAGCTACCCCTGAAGCTGCCTCAGAGCTGAAGATCTCCAGGAGGAGGACAAAGAGGAGCATATGGACTGTGGACCGGATCGAGGGGACAAAACTCATAATAAACAAGAAGAGAAGACTCAGTTACCGACCTGAGGACCTTGAAGCCTTCTACCGACTTCTGGGTGGGTTCTCTGAACTGAGGACTGGACACTTAGGGCCAATTTTCAAAATTGAGAATTAGGTATAGGGAGCAGTGGTTCAAATTTCCCCACAGTGATCCTGGGCCACCTGGTTATGTGGAGGTGTCTCCTCTCTTGACAAGTCCTTGGAGAGAAGAAATCAGGCTCATACATGTATGTGGAAGTAATGGTGCTTCTCTACTCACAGACCAACCCCACCACTAAGATGGTAGAAAAGGGGGATCAGCAAATGCCACTGATCCCTGATTTGGGGATGCACTAGCAGGAAGACCCAAAAACAAAAAGAACCAAAGATTTACAAAATGGAGATGCTATCAGCTCTCCATAGCTCCACAGGAGAGGTTCAGAAGGTCATGGCACCTAGGGGTAGGACAGGAAGAGACACTAGAGGTCTATGAAACCAGTGAGGCACCAAAGGTCTCTCTGAGGTGATATCAGCCCATAGATCTGGGACCAAATGCGGCAGGTTGGGAACAACACCCAGGCAAACCACCCAATATAACATGTATCAGTCACAGACAATGATTTACTCTGTTTTCAGTGAATTAAACAGACCATATACGTTCAGTTCCTCCGTCTCCTCAGCCCTGATTCCAGTGTTCAGGGCCTACAAGTGATTGTAGGATGCCATATTGGAGGGCAGAGGAACAGAATGCTTTAACCATTTGAACACTATCAGACAGTGCCCTTCTGAGGGTCAGGGAGATTGCACAGGACACATGCTGGGCAAGACCTGTCTGCCTGGGCAGCTTTTGAAGAATGTACAGAACCCCACAAGCACAAGTCTTAACTAGAAAATGGTGCCTCCAGGAAGGACCTCAAAGACAGATGAACTCCTGGGAAGCAGGGGAAGCTGGTCACTACCTCAGAGGGAGAGGAGACCCAGGGAAGAAAGGATGAAGGGAGGCTGTAAGCATGGAGCTATGCACACTCCATCTCTGTCCAAGGATTCAGTCATCAGAGTAGGGATGTTGGCATAGTCTCGATACAGTAAATGGACAGATTGTGGGGTCATACAGCTCTAAGGCCACAACTAAGGTTTTGACTGAAGTTCGATTTAACAGTGAGAGCTATGTTAAATCCCTTTGGGGAAGAAAAGTATCAAAGGTCATCACGGACCAAGCCCAGGAATCAACAACAGCAAAGTTCAACACGCAAACATAGCATGGGTGTGTCGGTGACAGGGACAAACTATGTCCTTCTTCATCTCAGCTCAGGGGAGAAGTCTGGAGGCCACACACTGCTCACAAAGCTTCACCCGTGAAGCTTCACAAAGCAATCACACACTTGACCCACCAGATGGGAACTCCAAGTTCATCTCACGCTTGCTCTCTTTGCAGAGGATCCTGTGGTCCAGAACTTCTTGGCAGCTGACATTTTCTTCAGGGTGACCGACAAGGTACCTATAACCTCAGATATAACCTACAGTCACAACCCTCGGGGGATGGGCATAAAAAGATGGTCTGGGAGCCCAGGATAGCCCAGGGCTGCCCTCAAGAACAGAACCAGGAGAGACATGCTGCCCACCCATAGTATATCCCCCAAATTCCTTCCAGGTTTTATAATCAGCTCACATCCACAGAGCAAATGTATTCCAGCCCCCATTCTGTGTATCATTGGAGTATAATGATCAGATGCAGAAGGTCCAGGCCCCACTGAGATTTCTTGCCCTCTTGTCTATTGCCTGCCTTCCCTCACCAGCCTTCTTTCCGTACAGTACCTGCTGTCCATGGTGGTGGAGTACTTTGGCCGACTTGGGCTGCCTGGACATCTCTACAACAGGATCCACTTCTTCCTGGCCCTGTGAGCATCTCCTGGGGACCAGTCTGTCCAAATCCCATTCCTAAAGCTTCCATCGCTCCATTGGGACTGAGTGGTGACCCTCAGTCACAGAATATCTGACACTTTCAAGGGACCAGGAGGGGAGAGAAGAGGGTCCTGACATCATGAGAGCAGTTAAGAAGGAAGAGAGGGAAGTTTCCTTTTCCTGGGCTGAGAAGTGAAGGGGTCCTGCGGGCTTTGTATCAAGGATGCCCTGGGGATGCTCTAGACCAAGGTCACCCTACACAGCCTGCTTCCCCACTTTATCTCTGGAGCTACATGCTCCCACCTGCATCTGGCTGTCACAGTTAGGGACGTGCACTTCTCCTTCCCTCTGGCAGCTACATCGCCTGTGACATGGAAGAGGATGACCCCATATCCAAGAGGAGCATCTTTCAATTCTTGCTGGGCAGAGACACATGGCAAGACTTGTACAAGGACTTCCAAAGGCTACAGAAGGAGTTCCTCCAAGTCATAGATTATCGAGCCTGGGTCACACGACAGGAGTGTGAAGAGGTCTGACAGGGTTCAGCCAGGGGAGTGGGTAGACGGGGTTCAGCCAGGGGAGTGGGTAGACAGAGCTTAGCCAGGGGAGTGGGTAGATGGGGCTCAGCCAGGGAAGTGGGTAGATGGGGCTCAGCCAGGGGAGTGGGTAGATGGGGCTCAGCCAGGGAAGTGGGTAGACAGGGTCCTGCCCAGAAGAATAAGGGTGGGCCCATTTCCTGGACTCACCTCTCCTCTCCCTTCCAGATCCAGAACCAGAACCCACACCACTGGGTCTGGAGCCGGGTGCGTCACAGCGCCCCTTAGCTTCCCAGGCTTGGGACACCATCAGCAGGGTCGTGGAGCATGGGGCTGCACATGAGTCAGGTGAGTGGAGGGCCTGGTCAGGGGCTCCACATGCATGGGCTAGCTCTGTCCTCTGAGTCTCTGAAGCTGTATTCTGGGCTGTGTAGACATGGGAGATCTGCTGTCCCCTATCTTGGAGTTTCCTCTTGGATGGAAGCATGTGGGCATAAGAGCACTGCTGAGGCACAGACAGTGTTTAAATCCCAATTCTCCAACTGGATTGCATCACAGGACCATACAATCCATGACACAAGGTTTCAGTTTGCATGTCCTTTTTTGTTGGGTTTGTTTTTTAAACTCTCAAAAAAAAATTTAAACTCACATTGTCTAGGCAACAACCCCTGTGTGAGCTCAGGTGGCATTTTAAAATCTACCTAGATGAAAAACACTGGAGTAATCTACTCTGAAAAAGAGACTCTCCCTGGGCAGCTCTTGGGAGAGAAGAGACATTCCACTCTCTGCTCCTAGGTTTTATGTTTAGATCCCACATGAAGTGAGGTTCACGGAGCTGGGCCAGTGAAGTACATCATCAGGTCACATTTCCATGGACAACAGAAGTCATGGCACTAGTCCCTGAAAACTGTGAGATTGCTGGGAAGAAAAAGGAACCAGTGGGCAAGGACTTCTGTGAGGAAGTCACAATCATGAATGACATAGCCCAGAAACATCACTGTCTAGTATCATACCCCGAGGTGCACTTTGTTTGGTTAAAATTTCCTTTTCTATTTGGATTTACTCTAAATGGGAAGAGAACTCTAGTGAAATGCTTAAGGGTCTCTTCTTCCTGGCATACGGTTGTGCTAAAATAACCTACTAAATACCCTGCCACACTGCAGGGTGTGACAGAGCCCCATCTGTCCCATCGGGTGAAGAGTTAAGGGAGAATGATGAAGTCAGGATCCTGGGTTACAAGATAAACCCAGTTTGGCAGAAAGTTTACGTCATCCTGTGGACATTTCTAGAATAGTAAAACTCACCACATACATACACACAAGGGATCTCGAGATTCCAAAAGCAGCAGCAGTCATCACAGCTACTTCAGATTTGTCACTTGGAGCAGTGAGACGTGACGATGATCTTCCACCGTTTTTTCCACTATGAACTTTGTGTGTAATGGGCAGGAGTTTGTCTTTTATCCTAACAACACTTTCTTCTCTCCGTGTCCAGCTCCTGCCCACCCCTGCCATCTCCTCACCTCACCCATAGACCCGAGCGTTCCCCTGTTATACTAGGACTCGCAGAATCCAACATCCAGTCCTGGGCTCTCCATATGGATTCAGGATGAAGGATCCAGGTTGAGCAAGTGCCTCAGCAGTGTGAACCCAGAAGGCACTGTAGCCAATGAACCTCGGGCTTCAGGGATGGCAGCCTCCAAAGGTCTCTACCTTGACAAACCTTCATTGGATCCCACAGCAGCTTGGAGGGGTCCAAAAAACCATCCTCTCCAGCAACTGAGGACAGATAGCTGCAATGTCACACAAAGTTCAGGAGTCCTGGACCAGAGGAGGAGGAAGAAGCCAGTGCAGGCTCTGGGGTGTAGCCGGGGACCGGAAAGAAGGAGTAACTCAAGTCAGAGGATGAGGTCAGCCCTGCCTACTGGGCAACCAATGTCTTTGGACTCTGTTGTCAGAGACACTCTCAAATAGTCTGCTGGCTTCTCCAATGATATCTCATTCCAGAAGATGATGGAGAAATCTCCCCCAGGGACTGATGGGAAGCTCTGAGACACTGAGTATAATGGTGTGGACACCTGAGGCCATTATCAAAGTTGGATAGGAGAAAGTGGGTCCCATGAAATGCAGGCTGTTACCACAGGGAAACAACCCAGCTTGCAAAGGAGAGAGCCAAGGAGCAGAAATGAGTAGGGAAGAGGAGTTGAGGGGATGAGGGTCTATGGGTAACCCCAACACTGGGAACAACATGGTGAAAGCTGAGGCTCAGGAAAGATGGACGCACAGAGGACAAATAGGGCAGATCCCAGGGGTCACAGTGATACTTACAGACTTGACAACTACAAGGCAGACAGGATTTAAACCAAGAGAGAGGAAGAGCATATAAATTCAGCACACAGCTGACAATATTCATATTATTTTGCTACATTGTTTTGTTACACTGTTTCCACTCTGATTTTTGTTATAATTGGATATAACATTTTTATTATATTTTGTTATAATATTTTGGCTATATTTGTTTCATTATAAAATTTTGGTTAAATTTGGTTATATTGTTTTGGTTTTATTTGGTGTTATATTATGGTAACATTATTTTGATTCATCAGCTTGCTTATGGTATTTCTAGTACATTCATTCCTATGAAATTGTTATTGCTACATTATTTGAGTCATAATATTTTGTTATATTATTTTTATTATAGTATTTAGGATACATAATTTTGTTAATATTATTTTTATGCCTTTTGGTTGTAATAATTGCTTATATTATTTTGTTTGTATTACTTGATTGTAATGGTTTGGTTATATTATTTTGTTAGGTTATTTTGATTGTAAGATTTTGGTTATATTATTTAAATTACATTATTCCATGACATACTAAATTACATTACATACTAAAGTTATACTATTTTCTTTATAAAATTTTATTATCACATTTCAGTAATACTGTCTTGGTATATTATTTTGGTTGAATCATTTGGTTCTAACATTATATGGCTCATATTATGTTATACATTATTTGTATTAATAAAAATGAATTATTTGTTAGGACTCTGTCTCATAAAGCAAAATTCAGCTCATTGCTACTTGAGATACCAAAGTAATTCCGAAGTGTTAAAAGCAAGGTTTGAGGAAGAAGGGCTGGCAGGTGGGCACCCCAAGATGAGTAGGATGCACATCTGGATTGCAAAGGAAAGAAGACCAGGTCAGAAGTCCCCTAGAGATGGTAAGGACACACTGACGGAAGATTCTCTGCATCTGAGTTCCTGGGAATCAGGAGGGTGGCTAGGCATTAAAACACATTCATCCACACAAATTCATCTAAAACTCATCTTATTGAAAATAAGGATGTGAGAGGTGATTACTATGCCTGATTTCAACACGTAGGGCCATGAAATAGATGGCCCAGGTGTAAGTCCACACTGATGTTTTTCTGTAGACTTAGTGGCTGCACATGAGTCTACTGATACTTTAATTATCATCTGCGGCCACACAGCCCTGCATTCAATGCCCAGCCAGCTACTCAACCTCGGCCTGACAGGTAGGTGTACTGGTCCCGCAGCCTGGCTCTAATGAGGACACAATATATAGGTTTAAATCAAATCTCTATCATTCTATTTACCAACAAAGACTCAGAAGTCAGATGTAGGGGTGAAAACCTGCTAGTTCAGAGAAGCCAAGAAGCAACCAGATGACCTTGCTTTTTGGCCAAGACTCTGCAAGAGCTGTGTCTCTTTCTTCATTCCAGAACCAAAAGGAAGCTCAAACCATAGTCCCCACCCTTTCCTTCCTATGTATCTTCTCTACCAAGTTGTTGGCTTCTCTATGACTAATTCTGGTTGGCTGGTCACTGGCTCTACCCCCTGATTCAAGGTAAACTATTGACAGTCTGGAATGTCACAGTGAGATCAAAATATTTCCCCTTTTTGTCTAAATAAAAAAAGAAAGGTTTTAACTCTAACCTAGTAAAACTATGTACAATAATTACAATTACTGGGGAAGAATTACATTTACAATATCCAGTCCCTCAGTATTTGGCAAATTTGGAGAAATTACTCCATTATCTATTCTATCTTTTGAGTCCAAATTTTTTACCTAAACTATTTTCTATCATAACTTGTATTACCACCCAAAAATAACTTTTTAGACCTAAAAACATCTTCTTAGATAAATAACTTAAGTTTTTATGTTCCTCAACCTTATAAACGTTATGTCCCTTATGTAAGTTTCTTTTCTGAATGTGGTAACAAGGAAAACTATAACTATCTAGTCTTCAACCCCATCAAAGACACAATATACTATTACCTGAGTAAACAGGAAGTACAGAGCAAACAACTTCCAAAACTATAGAAATGAAACAGCTGGCTGACTACACAGTCACCCAAGTTTGCATCAGTTTGTATACTGAGGGGAGCAGCTGCTCACACAGGGTGACTGTCATCCAGTGTTATGCTAGACTGAATGTCAGATGCAGAGTCTTGGAGGTGTGTCAGGGATCCTTGGGGGTCTCCAGATGGACAACTGGTGATACTGTGGGGATAGAGACAGGTTTTGGATTGGGGAAAACAGAGAGCAGGATGTGAACAAGAAAGAGAATAAAGTGGAAGAGGAAAATGAAGAGAAACTTGTCTACTCATGACTGCCCTTGGGAGGGAGTCACGTGGAAGGTGGTTGTGTCATCATGGTCATACTTTGGAGGGAGACTTAATTACATGTGAATGTGCACTAGTTCATAGAGATAACATAAAAAGAGATGCTGATAAAGAGAACAAGTACATGAGGCAGGTGGCCTGACCCCATTTGGAAGCATAAGTGACACTCTGCAGCCATCCTTCTTATTGTCACTCAGCCCTAAATCTGACAATAATCCTGAAAAGAGGCACTAGAGAGCAGCCTATGCACGGCAAAGAATGGTGTATGGTAAGGCAACCCCTGGCCTGGCCAAAGTCAAAGGACATACCCTAGCAAGTTTTATATGATGGTGTAATCATTTTCCCTTCTGTAAATCAGGTGAACTATAATTCTTACCTGACAGATTATAAAGTGTAAGTGAGGCCTTCTTACTGCATAAAGTAACATCTAAAGTTTAACAAGGGATTAAGAACTGCTGATGTATAGCTCAGTGGTAGAGCACTTCCCTAGCATGCATGGGTCACTAGATTAGATTCCCAACACTTCAAACAGGAAAGAAGGAAGGGAGAGGGGAAGGAGGGAGGGAAATTATGATTATTATTGCAACTTGAATTACTATTTCTCTATGAAGCAGGTTAAACAAAAAGAAATAGCCTGG